CCCTGGGACAGGACGCGCAAGCCAGGAGTCCAGGGGACCCCGCCATGGTCCCCACTCTCCCTCACCTGCCAAGTCACCTGCTCAGCACATCACAGGACTGTGCCTCCCCCAGAGACGAACCGTTTGCATCCACTTCTGCGGTCCCCACCAAGCCTGTCCCCATTCTACCCCCAAAGCAGACTCGGCCACTGCAGCCCACGGCCCCTCGCTCCCCCTGCGTAAGCCTCGCGTGGCCTCCCTCTTGCCCAGCTCCTCTGGGCTCCAGACCTCATCTCCCTGAGTCAGGAGCCCTGCACTGCCCTCCCCCCTTCCCTTCCCTCCCCCCATCAGCACCACGTGCTCAGGGGTGTCTACCCTGGAGCAGGTCAGCCTGTCATCACCCCCAGGCCGTGCCTCCTCCTGCTCTCAGAAATCCTCATGAAGCTTCACACCTGTCCTTCAGCCAGCCTCCATCTCCCACCAGGGCCCAGGCTCCTGCCAGCAGCCCCCTCTCCTGCTTCTCTCCAGGGCTCCTCAGGCCCAACCTTTTGTCCCCATTTTGCCACCAGCCAATGGACCTTCCAGCACAACTAAGTGCCTGTCCCAAGGTCAGCCGGCACCCGGTCCCTCCAGCAAAAACCGTGAGGTTCGCTCACAGGCAGGGCTCCCAGCCGCTCTGAGCAGCCCATCCCCAGGCCTCGACAGGGGTCGGGTGGGCCGGAGCGCGTGGCCTGGACGGAGGAGTATTTGGGGGCCAGAGGCCTGAGGAAGGCCAGGGGTCTAGAAGGGCCGCCCACACGGATGACAGGGAGAGGATGGCAGGGAGGGAGGAGCCATGGGGGGTCCTGGGGACCCGACCACAGGCCTGAACCTTCGAGGACAGGAATCCAGGCCCAGTTATATATGCACAGCCATGAAGCCAGGAGGACTCTCAAAGGCGCAGGGTAACTGTCACAGGTCCCGGAGGTGCGAGGACCCTCACAGCAGGTTGGGGAGCTGCCAGAGGAGAGGCAGGGAAGCCCCCACCCGCCTCCCAGGGAGAGACCCCCCAGCCTTCCCCACTGAGGTCCTGGGGTGCAATGGGGAGCAGGATCAGAGGGGCCAGGAGTGGGCAGAACAGTGTCTACCATCAGCCCACCCAGCCCAGGGTCTGGGGGCTGCACCCCGGAAACTAGCAGAAGGATGGGGCCTGGACCAACAACGCCCCCTTTTCCAGAGGGGAGACCTGGGGGTGGGTGCAGGGGCTGGGGAAGTCAGGGACTAGGTCAGAGGGCTGGAAGGGGTCAGGGACTGGGGGGTTTTTCCTGGCTCTGTGCAGATCATCACTGATGTGATTGGGAATCCTGAGGAGGAGAGACGAGCTGCTTTCTACCACCAGCCCTGGGCCCAGGAAGCAGTGGGGAGGCATATCTTTGCCAAGGTGAGACTCTGCCCTGGTTGCCCTCCTGTGGTTGTGAGCAGCAGAAGCCTGAGCTGCTGGTCTCTCTTCCAGGTGCAGCAGCGAAGGCAGGAACTGGAACAGGTGCTGGGAATTCGCCTGACCTAACTGCTCAGGGATCCCTTCCTTTCTTCCCAGCCCAGGCATCATCCCCTTCTCAGCCTGGAAGGGACCACCATCTGAGGCTGCAGACACATAGCATAAGGAGCAGGGTGAGGGGTTGTCTTG